GTTCCAATTTTCTTCCAAAATGTCAATCTAGTGCTCTGAAATAGGATGTTCAGCAGTAGCTTGAAGCTTAAAAGCCTAATTCGGCCTGAGTGGGCCTAGCCCAATCTCTCAATCTGGGCTAAGACTGAATTTCTTTCCAATTTCCATATTATTTCTCTGGCATGATTACAAACACAGTATGTGTGAAGTACTTATTCCATCGAGGGATAAAGCTTTAGGGTTCTCTTAGTGGTTTCAACTAAGATGATGGTACATTCATTTAGTTGGGACATCTCGGACTGAAATTGCACATACATCGAGAGATTCTACGCTCTATTTCCCTTTTGCTTTCTTTTATCTACGTCGGCACCACAAAGGAATTTCGTTTTCGATATTGATAACATATTATTAGCAATTTATTAGATTGCTTAGATAATAAATAAAGGCGAAATGACTTGATTGCACGGAGAGAATTAGTTAACCATTAACCACTTTGAAAGGGCCATATGACTTTAAAGTTTTCTTAACCTTCATATTGCTCAGAACTCGCAGGTTAGTCGCAATCATCATGTAAAAACAGAAAATAAAATCCCGCTAAACTCCGTTTGTTTCGTGAAAAATATTTTCCAGGAAAACAATTTCTTCATTTCTGGCGTTTAAATCGCTTAGGAAAATGTTTTCCTACCAAAGTTTATATTTAGGAAATTTTTTTCTTATTAAAAAATTGAATTTCATTTTCCAAAATATAGTTAGGTATCGACACTTGAACCAAAAACTTTGCTCTTAAGCATGGGAACCCCAAGGCTTGTTCCTAGGCTTTTGATAGCAGGGTTGGACCCCTAATGCCCCGGCCCGGGTTCATCTAGGCCAAGCCTGAGACCCCGGCCACCGCCCTAGGGTCCATCGATGTCGAGCCCAAGACAGTGGTGCCCATGCCGGGAACGTAGGGCTTGGTAATATCGAAGTCGAGCCCAGGTCCTTGATGCTTGTGCCAAGCCCATCAAGGCCAACCTCTGGACCCCGGCACCCATGCTCAGGTCCCCAACTTTCGAGCCCAGGATTTCCGTGCCCATGCCCAAGTCCCTTGCGTTCGTGCCATATCCATCAATGCTAAGTGCAGGCCAGGCTTTAGCGATCAAGGTTGGCCTTGATAGACTCAGGCTTGGGCACCAAAGGTCCTAAGCCTGCCCTCGATGGATCTAGGTCTAAGCGCAGGGGATCAAGTCTCGGGCACCGGGTTCGGGGCCCAGCCTCGATTGACCCAAGCTCAGTCCCAGGCGCTAGGGTTCGGCGCTCGGATTATGGACCCAGGCTCAAGCACCGAGGAGCTAGGTTCGACCTTTGAAGACCCGAACCAAAGCGTCAAGGAGCCGAACACGGGCACCAAGTTCTCGGGCTCTGTTTCAGTGGACCCAAGACCTAGGGGTGAGCAGTTCCAGGTTCCATATGGATTCCACCTGGAACCTATCCGTTGAACAGGTTTTTCATTTTTTGGAACCTGGAACCTACCATGCATATCTTGAAAACTGCAACCTACCATGCCACAAGTTAAAGGGTCAACTCCAGGGTCTACTCAGGTTCTACTTATAATATTAGTTGAATGATTGCAGTGAATCATCACATTTAATGACTACCACTTGCTGCTACAATCCATTGATCTTAGACACGGGAAAAATATAAAACATTAACAAAGTAAAAGTCTTGGTCATAAAATGGAAGATCAAACTAGTGGTTCCATATTATATACTTATCATCGGGCGTAATGAAATACCGCGGGATCACACGAAGACATAAACCAAGAAAAACACAAAAACTCGTTATAGGTTCCATCTCCCTTCGAAACTAGAACATACCCGTCGAAACAGGTTCCCCAATTTTTGGAACCTACAACCTACCTTACATATCTTGGAACTTGGAACTAGACAGGTTCTCATGGGTCTAGTTCTCAGGTTTTAGGTTTTAGGTTTTACTTTGGAACCATGCTCACCTCTACCAAGACCAATGCCCGTGCTCATGCTCAGGAGTCGCAGATCTTGGCTTGAGACCCTAGTGCGCGTGCCGAGTTCCTTGGCTAGCCATGTGCAAGTCACTAGCGCCCAAATAATATGTCTATTTAGGAAAATAAAATGAGATTTTCCTTACTGAAAAAAAGGAAAATATTTTCCAATTCATTATTAGGTTTCAGCCAAAATACCGAAAAATATTGTCATTTTCTTGAAAATTGACTTCCCGAAAAATATTTTCCAAAAATATCATTGTTTTTTGCAAAACAAATGGAGCCTAAAGCTCAATTTTTGGAAAATCCGGGGAAACCGTAGAATTCCAAGTCCATGGCAGAGACCTCTGTGCACGGCGCCATGTCAAATCGAGGAAGCGTTTCATCATTGTCTGATTATGCATGGGGTCCAATGCATACATCTCGACAAATATAGTGTATTCACTATCCAAACAATGGGCAATGCAAAAAAAAAAAAAAACCAATGGGCAGGGTTTCCTTACTTTACAAGCAAATCAAGGTTATGAACATGTTCTTAATCTAATCCCCATTAATCCTCCTTTGGCATATGATACATAGTTTCTTTTTCTAACAGTTGGAGCATCCCAGACTCTTTGCAGTTTGCACATTGGCCGATTCTTTATTAGTTATGACAATTCCCAAATTCCACAGGCACAAAAATAAATATCAAAAGCACGCGGGTTTGCGCTTGGAGATGACTCACAAGGATGTGCAAGTGTCGTGATTCAAGCACGAGTCTCGAGTGAGGAAAACTCATCACCTGAGCAAACCCTTAGTATTTCGAAAGGGTCGAGTTTTTTTCCAGTCCATCCTTGGCTAAAACACTCCCCAACGTAGTGTTTTGACAATTTTACCCTTCATCCCACCTTTCGGCATTCAAGAGCTACTACTATGCATTGGATTTTTTCTTTTCTTTTCTTGTGAACCCCAATTTCCTTCGTCTTCTTCCTTTTATCTCTTTTGTAGGATATCACACTTTTTGTAAAACATGGTATTCTCGAACAAAGTTGATGAGGATGCAGAGGGTGATATCATCGGAATTGTGAGGCCACAACAAGCCTGAGTCAACAAGGCTCCACACTTGAGATCTCCGTCCGAGACAAGCCGTCGGAGACCTTCCTCGGCGGTGTCTGCTTCGACCTCTCCGACGTGCCGATCCACGATCCACTATGGTACCACTTTGAGGGCGGCGATGCAGCGGAGAAGAGTCGCATCTCCTGCGACATCCAGCTCTCTGTGTGGATTGGCATCTAAGGCATGGAACTCGGAGGCACTGTACGTGGCTCACATGCGCTATAAGGTCTACCGGTCTCCAAAGCTGTAGTACCTGTATGTGACGGTGATCGAAGTTCAGGACCTCCACATCACTCTGAATCTACCACCATTGACGGTGTGAGTGGTGAAGGTCGATGCACAGTCCGTGTGGAGCCGCGAGGATCAAGGAGTACGGTTTCTTTACATCTTGATCTAATTGCTTGTTACCCGTAAGTAATTGATATTGCCAAGTGCCATGACAAGGAGTTAAAGCATTGTGCTACGACCTTCATTTTCTCTTTCTTGAAGACCGACTTGAGTTCAAAGAAATTTTTTTGACCCCACTTGCTAACTTCCTATACTGAGGAGGAGAAATTTTTGTATCTCTATATCGGTATGTTTTTCGAGGTGGTGCTCCGGCCTAAGTTGTTTTCTAGTTTCTTACTTGAACATGATGAAGAAGCTTGTCTATAATTGAATTGGAGTTTCAAGCCGTGGTTTTTCATCCTGTTTTTCGAGGTGGTGTTTTACCTCTTGCGCTTCGCATCCTCCTCAATTCCGCCGTAAGGTATCCGGAAGGAAGATAATTGCCTGAAGAGAAAAAAAGAGATGGGGAACAAGATGAAGGAAAGTGGGACCCCAAAGAAAAGAAGAGAAGGAAACTACAAAAGGGGAAATACATAAAAAATGTGGGACCCATGAATAGTATAATTGTTAGAACACCGTATTGAGGAATGTTTTAGAAAAAAAAGGAGTGAAAAAAGCGCGGCCGTTCGAAAACCCAAAATTAGAGCAGATTTTGAGGACATTAGGTATCGAGCTAGCTCTCCATTGTTTGAAGCTCTACATTAGAGAACTCTTGTGGATAAAAGGAGGCAATACATGTGACTTTTCTTCCTTGAAAATTAATCGTGCCAAATGTCAAAACTAGGGTGCCATAAAAAGTTGCACTAAGTATTATTTTCAAGTTAATCTTAGATTGCTTTTTCTTTTTTGTTATTTTTTGATAATCCATAAAATTCGTACATAAATTCTAAAATTTTTAGTTGGAACGTTCCCACAAAAAATTTATACGTATTTAATACATAAAATTATAATTTTAGTGGGGTCATTTAGCCGAATAAATAAAGGGCTAATTCTAAGAAAAAGCACCAACTTTATATTGAGTGACAATTTGGACCCGAACTTTTTTCGTCTCAATAAAAAGTATCAACATTTACTCTAGTCCCAAATCTGACCACCGTGATGTGAAATTTTCAAATTATTCGGGCTAGATTTAGGATTTAAATGAAAGTTTGTGATTTTTTACAAGATAAAAAAATAGTTAGGGTCAGAATTGTCGCTTGACTTAAAATTTGTCATTTTTTTTAAATAGGCCAATAAATAAATAAGACTATCCATGATTCCGTCTCTTTAATCTTTCCATGATATTCCTATTTTTTTGTCGATTCGTACCCGTCGTTGGAGTATTATTTTTTTTTTTTGGTCGAAAATTGCACAAACCCTATGCCAAGTTGGTCTTTTTGAACAATAACTACGTGAAGATATCAACTCGAAAGGTTTAATCAAGCTTTGTTAAGACTTCACACATCAATGATCAAATTTGCCCATGAAATCTTGTAATGATGGCTGGCTTTGTGAACAACCTGCGAACGGAAATTTCGTTAGGGGCCGCATCCGAGCGAATATTCCTCGGAGATTTCGACAGGGCTAGGGTTTGTGTCCCGTCCAACCTATAAATACCAAGTCCCGAGCCCCCTCCTCCCCACGCCATCTCAGCTCGCACTCTCTCTCTTTCTCTCTCCTCGCGTCCCTTCGCTCGAGCACGACCAACGAAGATGGAGCTAACGTTCATCATGATCAAGCCCGATGGCGTCCAGAGAGGCCTCGTGAGTATCCCGCGCAACCCGATCTTGGTCATGTTGTTGCCTGGTTTCTCTTTTCTTGCGTGTTTGATCTGGCGTTTCTTGACGGGAGAAATCGTGTGGGGATGGATTTGGGTTCTTGGTTCTTGATTTGTGAGATACCCTTTTTCGTTTGATGGGCATTTAGAAGATGGGTTCTGGTGTTTGGGGGTTTTGGTGTCGGCTTTTCCTTGTTTTCCTTCTCGTGGAGGCAATTCGATGCAAGAAAGATCAAATTTGAGATTTGTTTTCGTTATTTGGGATTTCCCCGAATCCAAATGAGCGTGGATTAGGCGTAAATTCATCAGCTTGCTATTTGGGAATAGATGGTGATTTCAGGGGATTGGGTGATTGTTCTCTCGCTTGAGTTTATGTCTGCTGTTTTAAGTTTAACTGGTGTGAACACACTTGGGTTGGGTTTGACATGAATGCTATTCTTGTTTTCAGATCGGTGAAATCATCGGCAGGTTCGAGAAGAAAGGATTCTCCTTGAAAGGTAAATCGTTTTATTTTTTATCAGCTGACAGTTGTTGAATGCAGCGATCCATCCGTTTAACGGGAGGAAAAAGATTGTCGTTGCTTTTGCTGCTTAATTTTCGGTAACTTGTTGTTTGAATATGATGACACTAGTCTGAAAATCGTTATGGAGATTTTCCATTCTCATTTGAGCGGGCATCGTCAAGAAATTACTGTCGGACTCGAGTAAGCTTGAGTTGCATATTTTTCTGATGAAAGCATGTTATGTGCAATTTGAATCAGGTCTGAAGCTTGTCAGTGTGGATCGTCCTTTTGCCGAGAAGCATTACGCAGACCTCTCTGCGAAGCCTTTCTTCAGTGGCCTGGTCGATTATATCATCTCTGGCCCCGTAGTTGCCATGGTTTGGGAGGGCAAAGGTGTTGTGACAACCGGGAGGAAGATCATTGGAGCCACCAACCCTGCAGAATCTGCTCCTGGAACCATCCGTGGTGATTTTGCCATTGACATTGGCAGGTGATTTCCTTTTTCATGCGGCTGAAGTTATTGAACACATTACAGTGGAATCGGTTGATGGTCTGCCGGTGATTGTCAGATTGACTAAAGCCCCTTTGCTTCTGCTCCTTAGTCAGAAAAAGTCTCTTATCAATCAATTATATATAGTTCAAAGCAGCCAAATATCGATAGTCCTATAATTGAATCACCAAATTCTTCCCATGATTACCCTTCCAGAGTTGCCACTGAACTAGGGAAGATAGACCTTTAAAGTGGTGTGACATTGTGTACCAAACCAATGCAACATGAAACTAAGAACAGCATCAAGCAATGGTTGTGTTTAGTTATTTAGACCCATTAGTTTCTCTAATGCAAGAGTATGGGGTATCGCTTGTAAACTCGTTCAAATGATAGTAAAGAGAAAACAAATAGACTCGCATTTGTAAATTCTTTTCCAGCACATCAGAGGGATACATATAGTTTTGGATACATGATTATTTGATGTCTTGTCTCGATTTTACATTTGATTTTAGGACATCCTGTTTCACTTTTGAGATTAGAGTTGCATAGGAAATGATCTTTGCATAGTGGGATTGATAAAGTTACATGCGATGATAATCAAATTTGACTTTTCTCTTGCAGGAATGTCATCCACGGAAGCGACTCGGTCGAGAGCGCAACCAAGGAAATTGCACTGTGGTTTCCTGAAGGCATTGTGAGCTGGCAAAGCAGCGTTCACCCCTGGATCTACGAGTAGATTTTCATGTGCTGTGATTCTGTTTGCTGCTCGTCTAATTTGACTTAATGTATTATCAACTGTTGAGCTTTTGATCCACTTTGTCATGAGTGTCTGGTCTGGTGGATGTCCTATTGTCCTTGCCTGTGTTTACGACTGCAGATGCGATTTGAACGATATAAGAATTTTGGTCGATGTCTGGTGGTAATTCTAGTTGAGTCTCATGTGCTTTTCCTTACAAAGATCTAATGAGAGGACTAGGAGACATGCTTTTGGGGGGAGAGACCCAGATGTCCGTTTTCGCGCTGCTTTGTTTTGCTCCGACCCCTTTTATCCTTGAGAATCCCTAGTAAGATTGGCCTTATCGGGATCTTACGAGGAGAATCTTCCCGCGGGGCAAATTCATTGTCCGATATTGCAGATTCATCTGAAGTTATGGAGGTGGCACACCTCTTCAGAGTGTGTTTTGCCAACTTTGGATGAGAGAGAATTTGTTCACAACAGTCTTGATTATCTGCTCTTTTTTTTCCCACTGACCAAATAATAATGAATATTCAAATACATGCTTAGGTTGCAAATGTGTGTACTGTCCACTTGCTACACATTCTAAAGTGAGAGGTTCAGGGACAGTTTAACTTTCAAAACGAATGAAGAAGTTCTCAAATACAGTTTCAATCCTCAGGATGTATAGGAGCCTAGGAGGTGCTCATAATTTCATTTTTGAAGCGGGAAAATATGCATTAATTAGGGTATCAATTTCTTCGGTATCAAAGTTTGCCGGTGCTTGTTTGCCTCCAATGCCCCATCTTTCTTTTATAGATTGAAAAATCATGGCATTCTCTTTTCTGTGATCCGTCCAATGTGTCCGTGAATCTGTCGTGTTGAACAGATCGATGATAATCTAATCAACCATGTATCCGTGATCGGTAATCTAGTACGACTATCGATGTTGCAGAAACAGTAGCAAGATCGGCTCTTTTAAGTGTCTTTCTTGTCGAAAATATAACGGTACTTCAAGCTAGAAAGTGAATTGCCAGGCATATAGGGTGGTGTAGAAGGGAAAAGGATAAGCAAAAGTCGAATAAGTGGGTTAAGCTGAGCTACATCCATCAACCGCAGCTATTCAACTTCACAATCTAAAAGCCAGATCTCCAATTTAATCAAAAAAGCCTGATGTGCCTCCAAAGCGTAATCGAGAGGACTTTCTTATGCTTCATTCCCTCCTGTTGAAATCCCATGCGGATGCAGAGACATGTGACGATGATGATCTTCTGGCCTGTTTCTTCATCCCTATGAATAATCGGTATAAAACCTCAAACGATACATCGGCATGTCGTGTAAGGTCGGAATCACACGTTAAGGGCCACTCTAGAGTTACAGACTTGGGAAACTGGGTTTTGATTTTCCAATAGAATCAAGGATAAGACTCGAGAACTGTAAATGCAAAGCCATTTTATGAGCGTAGCGTGACGTACAAACATGATCTAGAGAGAGAGAGAGACACTAAAAAAAAGGTAACCTCCTTGTTCACTCTACGAAACCTGCTTCTACATCGATCACTTTTTGAACTTACTGAGCCGCACTAGTGAGCAAGAAGGCCAAAAGAGGGCAAGTCCTCAAGACGTGTCACATCTTCAAGCAGCAGCTCTCTTTCCATTTGACGGCGGGTCGATTTCATCACAGCCTACGGAGGGAAAGCAAGCAACCAACAGAAAGCAACAATAAGTTAACATTTTATCCCGAACTTTATGCATTAGAACTGGCAACTATAGTATGCATCCATAACAGAGGCTAAGAGAAAATTGTTGTACACTAAGGAGCTCCAAAAAGTTCTTCGGATAACTGTAGAGTATAACAGTCAATAGATGATAAGTGTCGTTTTTGGTTTCTCTCTCTTATTTGATAAGAGAGTCGAGAAGTTAGAGGGCAATTCACTTTGTTATTTTGGTTCTGGATACAGGGTTGACAGGAGGCTTCGAAAGGTATCGTAAGGGGCCCGAATATTCTGCTTGTAGACAGGTTGAGACCCCTTGAATACCTTGTCCAATAAGTTATCTGACTATTAAGAAAAAAATTATACTGGAGCAGCAGGCGAGGTCCTAATTTTATTGTTTTTATCACCAAACTGCTACAGACACCAGGGGATATTTTCCTCGAGCAGGACCTTCAAATAACCCACATGAAGCAATACTTTTGGCCATCAAATAGGCCATGAGCAACCCCAACATTCAATTGTGAAAAGGGGCCTTTCATTTGCCAGAAATGGAAGGCAAAAGGTTCAAGCAACTAAACTAATTTGCTTCATAACCACATCCACAACTCTCGAAGATTGAAAAGAAGAACTGTCGAGATAGTTTCTAAATAAAAAACTCACATTAAAATCCATATATGATGCACGCATGGCAAGCCACTGATCGTCCATCAGCTTGAATGTGATGCAGTATAGAAGATCAAAGGCTGATTCATTTTCTGTCAAGTGAACTATTTTTGTTATAAAAAAGTAACAGGAAATAGACTGCCAATAGTAGAAGACAGGTATATACTAGATTGAGACAGAAATAAACTAGAACCTATAAAATAAAAATTTCTAACTCCAAGTACAAAGAATCCTTTTGTCAGCTTCATGCTTCTCCTGGACCTACTTCAACATAAGACTACTGAACTGAGTGAAGCAATAGATAGCCAACATTACCAGAAAGGAACTTCAAGAAAGTAGCTCCAACAAGCGTCCGTGGCTTCACTGCACAATCGAATACATCATTATAAATAGCATTTACTTTCCCAAAGTTCTATCACCCAGATACTTGGTTTATTCACAACAATATTTCAAGAACAATGTGTAAAAAATATCCTTAGATTGCATTCTCATTTTTCATAAAACTTCGTGATAAAAGAAAATTTTTCTTCAGAAATCTGTAAGTAAAATAGTAGTTTTCCTGTTTTTAAGCAGTGTACCTAAAAAATAGAAGCAAATAATTTTCTGATGTTTTTTTGATAAAAAATTTCTTAAGAATCGTAATGTCGAATTCTTTACTATGAATCTTGAAGGTTTTTTGTAAAGATCTGTAGACGTTGAAATTAATACGAGAGAGAGAGAGAGAGAATTTCTGAATCTGTCTAACAATGAGTTGGTGAGAACAAAATGCCAATAAATCAAAAAAGAAACACTAGTTTAAGTCTTCAGAGAACTCAGCTTTAGAAAGTAGTAGTAATCCTTAGTTAAAAGATTAGCACAAAGAGCACTAAGTTATCTCTCAAGGATGAGCTCTGTCATTTGGAAAATGTTTTCCTATTTTTCAAACAGGACCAGGGAAGTCATTTTCCAACTTTTATGCTGTGGAATTTCCTTTGACTGAAAATGGCTCTCGAGGATTGATTTAAGTGTGCCAAACACCAGAAATCACCCAAAATAGTTTCCAGATAAACATTTTAGTGAAACACACCTTTAGTCTCGGTTTGAGATTCATCTGACATGGTCCCATCCTCTAAAAAAGATGTAAAAATGTTATAGGAGCTAACATTTGTCTGTATCTTAAAAGGCTCCATGTTTATTGATGTCGCTACAATGGTTCCCATCCTTGCAGCATTCGTTACATGCAAATGATCATGTATATAAAAATTTCACAATGAAAATTAGGTTCTATCTTACCTGCTTCAAGATCGAGCATTTGGATAAGCATGAATGTGATGTTCACGCCAGCTACAGCAAAAGGGTATTCCCACAATGACCGATCACCTTCCCGTTTCCTCAGAAGATCTTGAAAGGATTTCTGGTTCAAAAAACTCAATGCATCAGATAGCGAAAGAGAACATCATGGGCTTGTTAACAGATCTCTCTCTCTATACATGTCAAAACAATTGGCAGATAATGATGCAATTCTTATGAGGATCGATATAAACTAGAAATTTTTGCTAGGAACCAACTATAACAAATGGAAACGAGTAAAGATGAGTAGCAAAAGAGGCAAAGAACTAAAGCAAAAAGGAAACAAACAGCCTCATACAGGAAACAAATTGATCGAGCCAAGACCTTCTAAGAACTAGCACTATTTAAAAGAAAACTAATACATTGAGAACATGCAAATGTCATCAAGAAGAAAACCATGTTGCTGCAAATGTCAATATGTATCAACCAGATTTTGATTATTAATCTACAATCACAATCGCCGAAATAAAGACTTAGAGCCAACTCTCTTGTGAGTTGGTAAATCTAAACGTAAGGGAGAGAGGCTTTAACCTTCCAGTTCATAATCTGCTGCATGGAAAAGACCTAGTGCTATCTCTAAAAAGAGCATTAATGTCATCATCAACATGGGATCATGGACACTAAATAAGAAGCTAATATACTATCCAAATGAGCAACCTTCCTCTTATGCCCCCCTAAATTTAACTATTTCAGTCGTGATTCAGCTTTAATTAATAGTTGTCAGACAGGTATATGGTACTTTACATAAGGAGATTATGTAAAGTGAATTCAAATACCAACCAAGTAACATCAAACTTGTTGGAGAGACTAGCACCAATTCACTTTTAACTGGTTAAAAGGCTTATATGTTATAAAAAGGCAATGGTCATTGTGTTAAGTAGTCCTTCACTTCGATACAAAGGTGATCAAAAGAAATGTCCTTCAAGCACACTGGTTGTGAAAGACAAATCCCTGAAATTCAACCCTGTTGGCTTTCACTTAGGAAAAGCGCTAATCTATTCTTCCATCAAATGAAAGCCCAAAAATAATATTTTTTCTAAAAAATTATAAAATAAAATAAAAACCTAAATGATTTATATTTGGAAAGGTTTTATGTCTTCCCCAAAGTAAAATTGCATGGGACACAAGATTTGAAGAAAAAAGAAAGTGCTTGAAAAATCAACCAAACAAACTCAGATTACAGAATAATTTAATCCCACACATAACCACATTAATTCCTACAGAGAATTGTGCTCCATCCTGAAAAATGAACAACATAACAGCATATATAGAACAAAAATAAACTGTTCGCCTATGCTTCACACAAATTTGCACACTCGGTCTCCCCCCTCCCCTCACAAAAGGAAATAGCTGCAGAGATATGATAAGGAGAGAAGCCCATTCATGTGTTCAGACAAAGCAGTGCTAACAATATGATGTTAAAAAACTCCAAAATCTATCAAGGCACAGGTTAGCTCTAGCAAAACCAATATCTGGACCAAAAGGAGAACAAGATCATAAAAGAAAGGCCGGATTCATTTACCATTGAGAGGGCAATAGCATCTAGGTCATGATCAACCGAATATTATTATTGCTGTAAACATAAAAAGAACAGAAAACAGACTAGCTCTAGCGAAATCAGTATCTAGGCCAAAAGAAGAAAAAGATATAATAGAGGGGCAAGATACATTTAACAACTGAGAAGGCAATAGCATCTAGCTCATATTCAACCCAACATTTTTAATAAATAAACATAAAAGAATGGAAACCCGACTAGCTCAATGTTTTTGGCTCTCTCTCTTCATTTTTCATTTTGATACTCTATATGTATACTTCTCACAATCAGCTTTTTTTAATTTTTCATCTTTAGCTTTTCGACAAAATTATGAAACGATTCCATTACGCGCATGCCATGCTTTCTACTATGAGGCACGCAAATTTTCCACATCCTAATCCACATACTCACATCATCAACCATGAGGCATGCTAACAGAATACGTCAGCACAGAAGGTCCTATCCTCAAATAAGAAACCCAAAAGTAACATGTTCTACAATATGCAAATATAAATTGCATCTTCCAGTGCCAACTAATTATTGAATTTAACAGAATTCAAGTAATTAGGACAAGACTAGTTGAAATAAAGAGATACCGGAAAATTCCTGGCAAAGAACAGCAAGTTTTCCAATGAAATGAAACCACCGCCCCTGAAAACATATGCACCAGTAACAGTCAGCAATGCATTATGCATCTTAGCAACAACTGGTAGAAAAGACGATTTACCTAAAATCAGTGGATGGGTCCTTCCCTTGCCAACCCATTTCCTTCCATTGTTCAGATATTAAACCACGAAGTTCCTCTTCTGGAAAGGCAGCATGCCACAATGCCCTTAGAGCTTCCTGAGACAGTGCAAGAAGGTAATGCAAAAAAAGATTAACTTGTTAGAAGCATAACTTGATTTATTTGCTGTATTGTATAAATAGTGTTAAAAAAACAAACATGTGAAAATGGATATAAAATTTACCTGGTGTTCCAGAACAGAACTATCATAAGCAACATCTATGCGGCTTTGAAGCCTCTGCAAGCTTTCCTCCTGATGGCATATAAACGGAAGGACTTACAAGATAATAAATTGATTGAAGAATCAGCTCAATTTCAATAGAATTACCATTAACAGGCATATAGGGACAAAATGAAGATATAAACACTGATGCGGTTAATAGCTCTAAAGAGCATCATAGAAACTAAACAGAGTGCATAAAAAAGGTGCAAGGAGAACTGCAGAAGAGAAAAAACGATGCTTGAACAAAAGCTATCTTTCAGCCTCAGTAATCCCTGGATAATATGGGTCATTGGACAGTGCATTTAATATCTCAGGTTCGAGGAGATAAAGAAGATACTGATTGAAGGAACACTAATCAGGTTAAACAATAAAATGCAGTATGATATGAAAAATTAGTCACAAAGTTAGCAAATTATTACCTGGGCAGGAGTTAAATCAAATGAGGGACGAGCATCGCTCTCTCGTCTCTGTGCACAAACGCAAGAAAGACCTCGACCAAGCCATGCTGCTGAGCCTGCCACAACTTCAGCTGTAACAAAATGAAACCACCTAACAATTGAAATTTGTATCTTCGAACTGAAAATGCTGACACGCCCATCAATAAAAGCTCTTAGTGTTTAAATCATTTGCCATACCAAGCATCAAAGGGCTCAAGTTATAAGTAGGCGCACACAATCTGACAACAGCTCTTTTATCTAAAGACTTCACATATGATCATGTCAGAATACTCTGCACAAGTATCCACTGTTGATGTCCAGCAAAACAAAGAGGGATGAATAAACAGTTTCCAGATGAAAGTAAATATTCCACATTCTGCTGACTGTTTACAAGAGGCCTGAGATTAGAGCAATCCATCTAGCACTAATCATCAAACTAAGGACTACACTATCTACCAGTGGTTATCACATAATCTACTAAGGTAGATTATTCAAATTCAAATTCAAAGACATATATACAGAAGCCAAGAGAAAAAGGTTGATTATCAAAATTGAGCCCCGGAAATTCAGATGTAGAGCAAAATCTAACACGTTATCTTGTTCGGAACGAAGAATTATAAATTTAAAGTAGGATAAAGCAAAATTTGAGCAATGCACATAGTTTAGAAACTTTAAGGTAGCTCTACAGTCAAATCGGCGTGCCATTCGAGATCTGCGGAGGACCAATTATCATACAGTAAAAAGAAAGTGAGAGATAAAAAGACAACCAACATCAGACTGGCGCAGTAATTTTTCTAGCATTGTGATGTCAGAAAAAGCATTACAGTTCGAGAATTATTCGCGCGAAAAACTCGTAAGCATAATTAGAGATCCGCCATCTCATCTCAAAGCGGCTCACCCGCCCGATCAAGCCAATCCAAACAGTACATAGTTATAATAATAGGCAGAACTGCAGACACACGTCTCGATTCAAATCCACCATCCGAATCCAATACGCCGACCGGTAACAGTGACTATCTAAAGACAAAAAGCTAAAAGGAGACTTCGCTAGAGAAGACGACATCAAAGAAGAATACCTTTCCGACGAAGCAAACTTTCTGGATATTTATTTTCCGAGAGAGAGAGGAATGTACTATGCAACAGTGAATACCTGAAGTTGAATGGCAGGTATTGCCTCTCTCGATGCCTTGAGAAATCCTCCTGACGGCTACAAACGACCCTCCCCTATCCTCCATATTCATTACCTCCTTCGAACGACCGAGCGACTACAGCACCATGACCGCAACAGCCCCCCCGGGGAAACCACCGCGGAATCTCCAACCCCACGCGGGACGCGGCTCCGCCTCCCGCAATGCCAACCGGCGAGCGCGCGCGGGGGAACAAACCTAGGAAGGGAGAGCTGATCAAGCGGACGCCATCGGACACCTCCCTCCCTCCCTCCGCCTCGAAGCTCGCGCGGAAACCAACACACACACGTCCCCGAGCGATCTGGAAACGCCAATGCCCCGCTGCCGGAGCTCAACGGAGGACCGCCGGAGACGGAGCTCCGGCCGGCCGGCGGCGAGGAATGGCGGACGTCTACCGAGGGATGCCCGAGGCTAGGGTTTCGAGATCTGCCATGGGAAGCTCCATCGAAGCAGTTACAGAGAGAGAGAGAGAGATGGAGAGGGAGAGGGAGGGAGGGGGAGGGAGGGAGCGGTGAGGGATTTCTCTCTCTAAGGCGACGGCTTTCTCGCTCTAGAAATGGCTCTTGTACGTGCTCTGTGCGTTTTTAGAGAGCGGAGATTACAACAATATTTAATTTAATTTAATTTAATTAAAGGGCGGAAAGTGAATTAAATTTAGATTTAAATTTGGGGTTTTAATTGGCGTTGAAATTGGAAATTGAAATCGAGTGGACCGCGTGGAGTGGAGTGGAGGGAGGGCAACGATAACGGAAATCGGGAGGAAGAGGGAAAAGCTTTTCGCCTAACCGAAACCGAAACCGAAACTGAAGGGGCCGGGGAGGTTGGGCGGGAGGGAACCCTTCTAACCGGGGAACCGGATAAGATCGAGCGCGTTTCTCGATCTCTCTCTCGAGTGTCTCCGGGACATTTGTTTGAGAACGGCGTGCTGGTAGTGAGAACGGCAATTTTCTTTACTTGTTTACTTAACGAATTTTTATGAATAAAATGTTCTCCGCGAAAATTCGAGGTCGGGATGCGTGATCTTCACCGCCGAAACTTAATCGATGCTCGGGGATCGAAATTGAAGAGCCGCGGTTTAGGGATTGCGCGATCGGCTCGCGTGCCTGTCGTTTAGGAGGAGGTATTCACGTGACGGGCATACCGAGTGGGCGTGACATGAGTGTGTATTCGATTGACCAAAGAATAAGATACGTATATTTCAAACGCATCGACCGGTCACACAAAATATATCTTCATGTACCTAATTGCCATCCCATTTGGTGGAAAGACTCTTACGTAGCCATCTCTCTATGCTTTGCCCCTTCTCTCGTTAGGTCCATGGATTTAGTAGATTATACCGTGAGGTCAAAAGTAAATCACTTCGAAAGTCAGCAAAACGGTTTTACTAGGTATGAGTGTCGAGGAACCTTTCCTTTTCTTTTTTTTATATGCCATACTCTAACTCTCAACTCATACTAAGACTTTTGTCCTACCTCTTGCAGGATATAGGAGTCGAAATTCACATATAAAATTACACATCCCTACTCCTAGCCCTCCTGAAAATGCGGGAATTCGAACTCTCCACCTCCCTCTTTCCAAGTAAGAAGGGTGGCCACTGGGGCAAATCCGAGTGATTGTCAAGGAACATTTCCTTGCCTTCTCCTTCAAGTATGTAAATGGCATGGGTCGGTTTCGATCCGCATGATCCGAATCCCTTTCCGTAAGAGCCCGTCACATCGACGGCTCCGGACCTCTACCACCTAATTCATCGCCTAATCATATTTTGCTACCGCACCGTGAGACGGACGGACGGACCCACATCAGCCATAATGGGTCTCAAATCGACAGCGGGACGGATTATCGAAAACGCACGAGAATCCAAACCGAATGGACCCAAAAGAAAAACGAAAGAGGAAGAGAGCGAAACACCCCCCCTAGGACGGACGGACGTCGAATGTCGAAATCGAAAAATCCACGTCATCAAATCCCCCCGTTCATTCATCGCACCGTGTATAGCAAAAGACGTAACCGGAGCCGACCACGAAAGGAGGGAAAAAATATATATATATTAAAAATTCCCAAGCCACGAAATGACGGAATTGCCCTCGCTCGGGGAAAAAGAGGGGCGGGGGAATAGGGTTGCGGTCACATGGGGTGTTCGCCCCGGGGGGGAGTGGGGCCCGAAACGGCGACGTGCGATTGAGTTCATTTAAGACTTTCTTTTCTCTTTAATTTTGGTGTGTTGTGGGCCCCCCCCCCCCCCCAACCAGCGCATGAGCCATCATCATCGTCGTCGTCGTCCTGTACTTTGGCTCCCGCTTGACGTAAAAGAGTCTGGGCATTGCTGGGCTAACCCCGCGCCGTTACTTTCTTTTTTTTATCGGTAACGGTGCGACCGTAGCCGCACGTTGCGTTCCCGGGGGAAGGCGGGCCACCGGCCGGAGAGGGTCAGCCGTGATGTACGGATACAGTCGGTGGGAGCCAAGGAAGGGGATTGAATTCGTTGGAAACCGGACGGAGAAGTTCTCCCAGATTTTCAAAGCGTAAAACGAGAGAGGCGGGATGAGGCTCCGTCGCTACCGTAAGACTGACGGTGCCGTCATCTGAGCTTTTTCCCTAAAGAGTTTCACCCCCCCCCCCCCCACCGAACAGGGACCGTCCGATGGTCCACCTCGCGCGCGGGGGCAGGGGGGGGGCCCACCCAACGGACGGTCCCCGGCCCCCCCGGCTCCCCTCCCCCCATGCGTTTGGGGGTCGCTTTTCGTGCAATTTGCCCACACGCCTCGCTCGCCTACCTTTGGAAAAGCCAAGGCCAAGGCCAAAAGCATGCGTCCCCATTTCCATTGAGAACCCGCCCCACGCCTTTTGTAAAGGCCCGTCTTTCTTTTCTTTTCTTTCTCTTTTTTCTCCCTCCCTTCCTTCTCGGAGAGTTCGATCGGAATGTCGATGCTTTGTTAAGCACGGCATTAGAAAGTGCGGAAAAGAAAAGCCTCCTCTATGTCCGCCGCTTCTAAATAGGGGAAGACATGGGGAGTAGTTTTTTTCTTATTTTTTTTGGGAGGTCTCACTACTCTCTTCTATGTGCAGTGCCCACGAATATTGAACACACGACCTGATGCTCTCCGACCCCACTCCGCCCCCCCCAAATTCATTTACCGGCAGGGCGGGATGCATGTTGACAAAATTTTGATTCGAGCGAATGAGGGCAATGAGTAATCAAATAAGTAAGGACCGCAAAGAAGCGAGGCTGAAATATCTTGAAATTGGATCGCGTTCTGAACGAGGGCTTGCTTTTCTGGTGGTTGCTTTTCGAGTGGTTAAAAGGTTTGAATCCTCTGAGCTCTGAGCCAACCCGCGCTTAACTGGGCTCACATGCATCGTCACTTCTCGAGGCTATAGTGACAGACTAACCCACACTACGAAGACCTCTCTAGAGACCAATGTGCGGTTCTAGTGCACAGTGGTCCCATGAGGACGATGCAATGTCGAACTAGATGGACTTTTGCAAATCAAACATTTCGTAAAAGTGTGATGTCCATACGGTAACATCGGAGGAGATAATTATAACAATCACCCCCTCTCGTCTCTTTAGGGAAACGAAAATGCATACTTTTCGAACATATGCTAAATATTTCTTCTCATTATGAGTGCACTTGGCCATGCTTATACAAACTTATTTCTTTCCTTTCTCGTCCTAGCAATCCTTCAAACTATTTCCATCTTACCACTAAAAGAACTAAGAAAAAGGTAATTTGACTCTTTTTGGAAAAAAAAAATGTTTTCACTTCTCTTTGTATTTTTCATCCTAGCCAAAGTTGTTATAGATGACGAAAAGAAAATGAACAACTTAGAATATAGGGTTAAATAACATGAAAAATTTCAAACATATCATCAGTGTCAAATTTACTCTAAAATAATTTTTTGACCACAAAAAAACCTCAAACTGGTACACCCGTAACAAATTTACCTTCTGTTAATTTCCGTTAAATTTTACGGTTAAATTTCTGAGTTGAATGACACGTGGCAATTGACGGGTGTACCAGTTTGGAGTTTACCCTTCTGTTTGTTACAGCTCTTATTAATTTGTGGTTTTTCATGGTATAAATTCAATTTAACGGAGGGTAACTTTGTCATAAGTATACTGATTTAGGATTTTTGATAGTTAAAAAATTAATTTGAGATAAATTTGTCACAAATTTACCGATTGAAGTTTTTCATGGTATTAACTTTAGAATAATAGTGATTAGACACGATGGGCCATGGCGAATTTTACCAGCACTTGACCTAACTATGGTGGACCTACGGCTTCATTCAAGGAAAAACTCTGATGTACAGGAACCTAGACCTACCCATGTGGGTCGATATTCGTGTTCATTTTTTTAAACTATGGTAGAGGGTATAATTAATTATTAATTTTGTTATGTAATTAATTGGTCGCTAAACATGTGTCGCAGTTTCGACAACTTGAGATTTGTTGCGCATTGGTCCAATCATCAACAGCTACGCGGCATTGTTTTTGCTGCTAATTTTTTTCTTTTCGTTCGCATCAATCTTTTCAACCGGGGGTCCTTTCCTTTAGGTTTCAGTGGTGACGTACAGGTTGAACCCACATGGTGACGTACAGGTTGAACCCACATGATACTATATTATTTATATTTCAAGCAAGCATATACAGTATCGCATAAAATAATTGAAAAAAGATGATAGATATATTAACCTTATTAGTTTAATTATAAACCGATGAATTATGTAACGATCAGATTCAACGGGAGTTATGAATGTTCGTCGAGGCCAAAAGGCCTGAACAAAGAGCTACTCTGAGAGGCTTTTAGCATGGCGAAGGGACCGGGATGAGCCAAATTACTTATAAAAAAAAAAGTATTCTTGAGATATATGTGTGTATGTGTGAAATTTGAATCAACTCCTTTTGACGTAATGCTAATGCTTAGCATTGAAAATCCAATGTTAGATGGGTGACCTCTTGGGAAAATGCGCACTTGTACGCCAAAGGACAAAACTGCAAGTCTCGATATAAAATGAGCCAAAACAGACAAACCTGTGTGTGTGTGTGTGTGTGTGAAATTGAAATTAACTCAAACGAAATTTTTTGATTTAATGACAATGCTTAATGGAAATCAAATATCGGATAGGTGACCTATTGGGAAAGTGCCCGCCTGTGCGCCAAAAAATAAAACTATGAATCTTGACATGGAACGAGCCAAAGCGGACAAACCTCGAGCGAGTTAATCCAGGATTGTTTAGATATGGTATTAGAGCGGAACTCCCTCCTATAGGTGTGTGGTTTGAGAATAAAACACATGGAAGCCAATGGGC